GTCTTCCCATTATTTATGAGACTCTTCTTTTTTCCTTGTTTCTTAAATTATCTGTCTTGATTTTCTGACTTTGTGGTGTGAACTTGTATGGTAGGAGACCGCTGTTTTTTCTTTCTGGATCTGCCTCTGATGATGCCAGATGTGACCATCTGACCTTAGGTAGTCTCTTTGAGACTTCCAGGAATCTACTGTCTGTGGCTGTCTCCTCTGGCTGTTAATCTAGTCACTCTGCACTCACCAGGCTAGCTTAGGACACCACAGGGCAGGGCAGAGTACCTCCTGGGGGCAGGGTTATTGGGTCTTCTCACACTGCTGCCACTCAGGGCAATAGTATGCCAGAGCCAGATGGCTGCTGCCATATGGGGGATAAGTCAGCACCAGGATCCTGCCAGCTACTCTCTCAGTTCTTTCTCCAAACCCTCTGTCTCCAGTCTCTCCTCAAGTGTCTCTGGACCACTCTTTGCTCCCTTTAGCCAAGGATCCTGTCTGTGGCTGCCACTCTGTATTCAGCAGTCAGGCTTTAGCACCACCAGGCCAGAGCAGAGTCTCCTGGGGGTGGGGTTATTATGTCTTCTCACACTGCTGCAGCTCAGGGGAGTGGTCAGCCTGAGCAAGATGGCTGCTGCCACATGGGGGATAAGTCAGCACCGGGATCCTGACAGCTACTCTCTCAGTTCTCTCCCCGAAGCCTCCTTGCCCAGTCTCTCCTCAGGCGCCTCCAGCCCACTCTGCCCCTGCCTTTGCTGGAGACCAGGGTAAGTGGCTGCAAATAAAAATGTATGCATTGGCCTTTTAAATGGCTCTTTACATCTCCAGCTGCCTATCTCTGGCAAAGAGCAACCCTGCCACTTTTTGCAGCTGGCTGTTTTCTGCGTATTTTCTGGGCTCTGGTACTGTAGGCTGGAGATTCCCACTTACAGTTTAGACCCCGCTTTTCTCTGGGGGATCCAACTGGCCATTTCAATATCCTGCTGGTGCTGCATGTGGGCACCACGCCTGCCTTTTTGAGTCTCTACCACACTCCTTACCAGTTAGGTTGTGCTAAAGCTTATTCTTCTGTCTGTCCGAGGTTATGAGTCTGCTCTCTCGCTGTTGTTCAGTGGTTTGTTCCAGGCGATTTCTCCACAATTTAGTTGTAATTCCAGATTGGTCCTGGGAGGAGTTCAGCGTGACTTCCACTCACTCCTCTGCCATCCTGATTCTCCCTGTTACCTGGCTTTTAAAAGTTCAAATGATAAAACAGCCTTTGATGTAATACAAAGTCTGTCTAGAAAGTATCCAGCTATGTAATGAAAAATGGAGACATTTATTGAAGAAGATACAAGATACAAGAGACATGGTACATAGGACAGTGACGCCTCAGTCCCCTCCAAAGTAGGCACCTTGAGACCTCACGCAGTTCTTCCAATGGCTATCAGCTGCCCCATCCTATTTTCCTGAATCTCATTGACTGTCTGAAATGTCTTCCCTTTCAAAGGTGATTTTAGTTTGGGGAAAAGAAAGAAGTCACAAGGGACCAAGTCTGCGTTGTTGGGGAACTGAGTCACCTGGGTGATTTGATGTTTCGCCAAAAAACTCTGATGAGACGTGATGCATGTGTAGGTGCACTGTTGTAATGAAGCTGCCGATCAGCGGTTGCCCACAGCTGCGGCCTTCTGACTAATTTCCACAGGGGAATGATGTTCCAGCTCAGTACTAAATTTGATGATTTGTTGCTGTGTTCACTCATTTTGAATGTGACGGCCACACAGTACATATGCTCACTTAATGGTGTCTACCACACCCACTGACTAGTACAGTGAAGTCTTCATTGTTCACACATGCACATTCCAGTCCACTCTCACCGACTACCAGGTTACATCAATCTTGTGCAAACTGTCCCTGTTATACTAAAAATGGACTTTTTCTGGATAGGCCTCGGTTATGCACTACATAAAACAAGGTCTACTAGTAACCTGAACTAGTGGTTTTCCAGCAGTGTTACTTGTACACACTCTTCTGATTCCCATCTGGGATACTGCAGGAAGTCAAAGAGACATCAACCACGCATATTTCTTGGGGCGTAAGGCCCAAGGTGCCTGACTAAACTAACTTGGGCAGTTCCACTAGTACATTTTCTCACACTGAGGTTACATCTAAGTTCTGTCTGATTAAAAATTTCACTACTTTTTTTTTTTTTATCATTATGACAACCAAAGGACTAAGCCATTATTCTAGTTATTTCAAACTTAAAAATCAGGTTTTTACAGGGATCTGATCTACAATTATCGTATCAAGCAGGTCCTGGAATAACATCATTTCGTTCAATGTCACTTCATTTTGTTGTAAAGTTGATGAGATGTCATAGGAACAGAACTCTGCATCAAGTAGCCGATGGTAAAACTAGCTTTGTTATACATTGTTTCTCTTAAAGTCACAGAACCTATTGACCATATGAGGTGAGGGCTTACTGTATATGCAGTAAACTATCATTATCTTCCTCTCTCAACAGAATATTTGAGGAGGGACAGGCATTGCTCACAATTTAACAATATCCAAAAAAGGCTAATAGCCTTTTTTGACACAAATAGCCTGAAGAGGAGTTTTTACCCAGATACAATGTATTAATCATCACATAAAAATGTAACACCTGGTCACAGCAATGTTTCCACCAGTAAACCTGAATACTTTGCAGTCCACAGTTGCTTAATCTTTATAACGTTCATTGTTGGCTGCAAAGAAAATATGCTCTAGAAAGGAACTTTCTATGGCCCAGAAAACTGAGGTGGAGAAAGTTAGTAACGTCAGAGTAAATGTAGAAATCAGGCTTAATGACTGAGCAGCTCTGATGGGAGTCCCTGCTCCATCTCCCATTGACTGGCATCCTGGCTTTTGATTAACCTTCTCAAATTATCCTTTTCATAAAATGGAGCACAATGACTACCATGAAGTTCTGCGAAGATTAAAGAAAACGTGTATAAAGTGCTTCGCAATACTTTGCACATAGCAGATGCTTTAGCAGATGCCCTCCCTGCAAGAAACTATAATAAGGTGCACTTACCTATGGATATTATTTGGGAACAGCAAGGAAGAGTTAAATCGTGTGGATTCTTTCCTTAAAGTATTAGATTCCCTTTTTAAATGACGTTTTGATAGTGGCATTTAGGACCCTGCTCCTGGTTTCATGGGGGCCCTACCAATCCAAATCACAGGCATATTCCAACCTGATCTAAATGGATAGGACTATCTTTCCAGGACCAATCAGGATGGAAAAGAGCATTTATATATCAAAAGACCTTTCATTATAAATTACAAATCAATTCTTCAAGTTTAAAAATCCTGTATTTATTTTAAATAATTTGTTTTGACAATAAACAAATTTTTAACTACTTATTTTATTCCAATTTAAAAAAAAATCATTTGTTTAAGCAATAAACTAATTTATGTGACCCTAAATCAAAGAGCTAGGAAGATAAATCTAGACCTAGCACCAACTAAATATTTAATACACGTGCGTCACATGAAAGAAGGGAAAATATGCAATATTTTTACAATCATAAAATTGAAATGCTGAGAACCACAAAGATTGTAAGTGGAACTCTCCAATTAAGAAGAAACTAAAGTTTGAAGAAAGTAACTGACTTGTCTAGAAGTATAAGAAAGGTAACAATATCTAAACCAAAATATAACTGTCATTTTAAAGCCAAATATATTTTTTGATCATCTTTGAGACTCTAAAGTTCTTATCTCATTTCCATGAACATGGAGAATTGACCTCTTAATAGAAAAAAGATAACCCCAGTCTTCTATTTACTCTTATATTTAATCAAAGGTACCAATTATTCATAGCAACTAAGAAATTCGTGCACAGATAAAGAACCCCAACTGTACAAACAAATAATTTGTGGAGAAACATGGATATAATTTTTCTGGTCTTAATCATTAAATTGAATTGCTATTAATATTTTATAATAGATAAAGAGATACATAAAATTAAATTTGTAAAATAAAAAACAAAATTATTTAAATTTTAAAATCAACATTTACTGAGTGAAAAATATGCTTCAGGCCTGATCCAAGTACTTTGCATGCTTTATCCTCACAGATTTAATCTTTACAATAATCTTATAAGGTAAAGAAAAGTCCTACCATCTCCACTTAACAAATAAACGGAAGCACAGAGATGTTAAATAACATGCTCACGGTAACCTAGGACTGAAAGCCAGGAAATCTGGCTCCAGGGCCCATGTTCTTAATGATTCTTTTTTAATACATTTTATAAAAACCTAATGAATAGTTTTTATTTAATATGTAGTTAAAGCTCAATACTTGTAATAGTTATTAATATTTTCAACTATATAGCATTAAGTATTTTATTTATGCAGGACTTTAGGACCACTTTTATAAATAGAGCACAAAAACACAGGTTATACATTAAGAATACAATCTTAGGGCATTTCTAGATACTCTTACACTGGTAGTTTTAAAAGATTAAAGAAAACCTATCAATACTATGGAAATTAGTGCTAGTGAACCTAAATCATCATTATCATGCCTAAAATTATTTAGCCACATATGGAAAAAGAAATGAGAATGCTTTAGGTTCTGTTGTTGTTCTCCAATAAATACATTGCTTATATTAACAGTTATCAATGTATTTTAAAGAAAAAAATTGATCAAACTGACTTAATTCTGGAGAGAAAATACATGTGAATCATGATTTAAAACCAGTATTAGAAGCAAGGCAGAGTCACAGGCCTGATAATCGCAGAGTGATGGTCAGGCTTCTGCTTCTGCTCACACCTTGGCTGTATCATCACTTAGAAAAGGAGGAGTTAAAAATAACCACAACAGGAACAGAAGAAAATCCAAATCTACCATCAGCTACATTTTCCTGTCGCTGCAGAGAGAATTTCCGATGATAAAACCTACCGCCAGTACATGCTGTAAACCACGGCATTACTGACGAAGTAAGAAAAACTCGCCTTGAATTTTTCCACATCTGATTCCCCACTGCCTACCTGAAATCCGTGCTTGCCTCTCCACCAGGTGCTCAACACTTTGGGAGGCATGTCAATAACAGAAACAATGTCGCCCACCTAGGAGAGAAAATTGAAGTGAAATGTTTTTCAAATTCTAAATCAACTGTTCCATCTAGAATTTAATCTGAACTCTTTCTAAAAACAACATAACACTTCTTTCTGGAAAGAATTTAATAATCCTAGCCATCTGTTAAGGAGAGGGCTTCAGAAAGTAAAGTAGCACGAAGGTTGTGATCCAACTGTAACATGAGCAGTAACTTCAGAGAGCCAGGCTTCCAGTGTCAGATTTTTGAAGGCTAAGCATCATACCTTCATCAATACTTCTGTTACGATACTGTTAACTGCTGTTACTAAAAGTGACCTGATTCATTTATGACAGACAGATATAAATACTCATACTTAAAGCAACAGCAGCTTCTATTAATACCACGGTTAGCGCTCACCATGTGCCAGGCACTGTGCTGAGCACTTGACATTATCTTATTTAATCATCTAAGAAAGCCCTAAAATGCCTACAATTACTGGGTTATTCTTATTAAGCGTAAAATTTGGTGACAACTATACTTCTCTCAAGAGATAGTACAATAGCTTACTTCCTCCACTCTTAAGAAAACAACTAGTGGGTTTATACAAATTTTTACAAAATCCTAAGTATAAAATCGCAGTAATTGTTTTTAATACTATTTAATGGAAGTTACACTCTGATCACAGTAAGTGACGATCTCTGTGATAGAACAAAGTATTTCAGAGCAATGTTACTGTAATGTATACAATGTTGCTTTAAGAATTTTTCTTTCATATTCACAACTAATTTTTCAGGTCAGGAAAGAATCATCTTCACAAAGCCGTATTTGCTAACAGGCTTGGCATCTTCCAAAAATCTACATTCCTTTGGCTATAGAACCTAAAAACTGAGTTTGAGAACAGTTCAAATTCTCTACAGTAAAAACTTAAACTGCTTTTTCTTAAAATGAGTATCTGTCAGGATTTTGGTTGTTATCTCTCATCAGCCAACACTAAAGAAATTTAATTCCCCTCCTTTTACATCTGAAAGCAAGACATTTTTATTCCTCTTCTCACTTTTCTATTAGCTCAATCTTTGAACAAATAATGAGGGGAAAAAAGTATCATTGGGATTGGGTATTATTTTTAGGTAGTAAAAATACAAAGAAGAAAAAAATACAGACCTGGCTTTCAAGAAGCTAAGAGAAACCAATGGGAGAAAAATTATGATTGAATGTACTTAAGTGATATGTCAGCAATAAGCCATGAACAGTTCCAAATGGCATTCAGTCCAGACCTTTTCTTTTTTTGGGTGGGGGGGGGGCGGTGCGGGTGGTGTATTTGCATGGAGTAGGGAAAGGAGATCAAGAATTACTTTCCAGAAGAAACGGGAGACAATGAAGTAGAAATTTTCAAAGATGAGTACAGTCATTTAAGTAAAAACAGATAGCATGCCAAGCTAAAAGATAATGGGGTATAAAAAAATATGGTGCTTTTAATTTAAAAAATGATTAAAACATTCAGATGAGGCTAGAAAAGTAGCAGGGACTGAGCTAGCATAGAGCAGCAACTTCAGGCATTTACCTCTAAGGTCAATTCATCAGGGGCCCGAGCAGTGTACCTCTTGATAACATGCGCAGCACCAACAGCAGGAGTGTTAATGGATGATTCTTCATGTACTAGAAGGTGATTCCCCTTATTATCAATCTGTAACAACAAAAAAAAAAAGTCACATGAGGTGGTGAAAGACACAAGACTTGGCAGAAGTTCCTCTGACATCAATTTGATTTAGGGAAACTGTAACCAAAAGAATCTTTTTTTGAAAAACATAATACCATCTATTGAATACTTAATGTATGCCAGCCATTGTGCTGTGCATAAAACATATGATTTAATTTAGTCCCTGTAACTCTAAAAGATACTAATTATCATTATCATTATTTAAAGATGAAGGTGCTAAAGTTAAAAAGAGGTTATATAATTTCCAACATATCAAATAATTTCTCCAAGATCGCACAGACAATAATAAAAGAGCCAAGATCTCAGCACAAGTTGGCTTGGGTCAGTTCTACAATCTTTCTACTTTCTATCCTGCCTTCCAATTTCCAATGAGAAAAGAATAATATAACTCTGTATACACAAATTAAGGAAAAATGCCTAACATATTTCCTGAATATAGTATCATCTAAGACTTATTCTTTTTTTTTTGTTTATTCTGTTTTTTAGACTCCACATGTAAAGGAATTCATATATTTGTATTTCTCTGCCTGACTTATTTCACATACCATTAATACTTTCTGTTCATCCATGTTGTCACAAATGGTAAGATTTCATTCTCTTTTATAGCTCAGTAATAGTCCACTGTACATGTGTACCATTTCTTCTGTATCCATTTGACTAGCGATGGATACTTTGGTTGCCTCCATACCTTGGCTATTAATAAATAATGCTGCAATGAACATAAGGGTGCATATAACTTTTCTAATTAGTGTTTTGGGGTTTTTCAGATAATACCCAGAAATGGAATTACTGGGTCATATAGAAGTTCTATTCTTAACTTTCCAAGGAACCTTCATACTGTTTTCCATAGTGGCTGCTGCAATTTACAATCCCATCAACAGTGCACAAGGGGTTCCCTTTTCTCAACATCCTCGCCTATATTTGTTTCTTGATTTACTGATGACAACCATTTTCGCAGGTGCGAGGTGATGTCTCATGGTTTTAATTTGCACTTCCCTGAGGATTCAGAATGTTGAGTATCTTTTCATGTATCTGCTGGCCATTTGTATATCTTCAGAGAAATGTGTATTCCGGCCCATTTTTTAATTGGAGCATTTTTTTTTGGTGTTAACTTGTATAATTCCTGATATATTTTAGATATAATATGTTGTTTAGTTAGCAAATATGTTTTCCCATTTATTAGGTTTTCTTTTCACTTTGTTGATGCTTTCCTTCACTCTGCGAATACTTTTTAGTTTGATGTAGATCCACTTGTTTTTCTATTGTTTCCCTCTCCCAAGAAAACATACCCACAAAAATACTGCTAACAGCAATGGCAAAAAGTTTACTGCCTAAGTTTTTTTTCTAGGACTTTTGTGGTTTCAGGTCTTACATTTAATTCTTTAATTGACTTTGAGTTTATTCTATATGGTGTAAGAAAGCTGCCTAGTTTATTGAACCAATTTTTTTTCATGTTATCTATCGAGTTCTCCCAATACTACTAGTTGAAGAGGCTGTCTTTACTGCATTGTGTTTTCTTGTCTTCTTTGTCATGGATTAGTTAACCATATAGACATGGGTTTATTTCTAGGATCTCTATTTTATTCCCCTGATCTATGTGTCTCTACTTACCACCAGCAAAAATACTTTTTTTGATTATTATAGTCTTGTAGTATTGTTTGTCAGGAAATGTAACACCTCCAGCTTTGTTATTCTTTTTGTTCCACATAAATTTTAAGGCTTATTTGTTCTAGTTCTGTGAAAAATGCCATTGGTATTTTGATAGGGATTGCAATGAATCTATAGGTTGCTTTGGGTAGTGTGGATATTTTAGGAATGTTAATTATTCCTATCCATGAACATGATTTATGCTTCCATTTATTTTTATCTCCCTGAATTTCTTCAATGTCTTATTGTTTTTGGAGTACAAGTTTTTTGTTACCTCCTCGTTTAAATTTATTCATAGGTGTTTTACTCTATTTGATGCTATTGTAAATATAATTGCTTTCTTACTCATTCTGATAGTTCATTATTAGTGTACTAAAATGCAACCAATTTCTGCATATTAATTTTGTATTGTACAACTTTACTGAATTCATTTATTAGCTCTAAATAGTTTCTTGACGGAATCTTTAGAGTTCTCTATATCATGTCATATGCAAATAAGGACAGTTTTACTTCTTCCCTTACAGCTAGGAATGTCTTTTATTTCTTTATTATGTCTAATTACTGTGGCTAGTATATCCAATACTACGATGGCTCCAAGTGGTGAAAGTGGACTCATTGTCTTGTTGCTAATTTTAAAGAAAAGTTTTTAGCTTTTCACTATTGAGTATGATGTTGGCTGTAGGTTTGTCATATATGGCCTCTATTATATTGAGGTATGTTCATTCCATCTTTTCTGAGAGTTTTTTTTCATTGTAAATGGATGTTGGATTTTGTCAAATGCTTTGTATCTACTAATATGACCACATGATTTTTGTCCTTCATTCTGTTTATGTGGTGTATCACATTAATTATTTTGCAGATATTGAACCAACCTTGTATCCCAGGAACAAATCCCACTTGATCATGGCATATGAACTTCTATTACTGAATTCGGTTTGCTAATATTTTGTTGAGGATTTTTGTATATATGTTCACCAGGGATACTGGCCTCTAATTTTCTTTTTTTGTAGTGTCTTTGTCTGATTTTGATACCAGGATACCTCATAAAATTAGTTTAGATGCCTTCCCTGCTCCTCAATATTTTAAAATAGTTTGAGAAGGACAAATGTTAATTCTTCTTTGAATGTTTGGTAAAAGTTTTCTGTCAAGCCATCTGGTCCAAAACTTGTTTGCTGGTAGTTTTTTGATTACTGATTCAATTTCATTAGTAGTTACCAGTTGGTTCAGATTCAGTCTTAGATAACTTACGTTTCTAGGAATTTTTCCATTTCTTCCCACTGTCCAATCTGTTGGCATATAATTGCTTGTAACATTTTCTTATAATTCTTTGTATTTCTGTGGTGTCAGCTGTTGCTTTCCCTTCATTTATGATTTTATTAATCTGGGCTCTCTTTTATTCTTGATGCATTATCTTTTTCCATTCCTTTACTTCCTGTGTGTGTTTTATGATCTGAAGTGGGTCTCTTTTAGGCAGCATATGTACAGGTCATGTTTGTTCTGCATTCAGCCATCCTGTCTTTTTATTGGACCATTTGGTTCATTTACATTAAAAGTAATTATTGACAGGTATTTAGTTTAGCCGTTTTTATTAACTGTCTTCTGAATGTTTTTGTAGTTTTATGTTCCTTCCTTACTCTCCTGCTATCTTCTCTCGTATTAAGATGACATTCTATAGTGTTATGTTTAGGTTCCATTCTCTTTTATTCATGCATATCTTTTATCGATTTGTGATTTGAGGCTGACTTGTGCTTCATATAAACCAAGCAATGCTTGTAGCATTCTTTCAATTTTTATTTATGTATTTATTTTTTTAGAGGGAAGGGAAGGAAGAAAGAGAGGAAGAGAAACGTCAATGTGAAAAACAACAATTAGTTGCCTTTCATATATGCCCCAACTGGGGACCAAACCCACAGCCCAGTCATGCGCCTTGACCAGAAACCTAATTGGTGACCATTCACTTTGGGGGACAATGACCAACCAACTGAGCCACGCCAGTCAGGAAGCTGATGGTAGCTTAAGTTCAAACACATTCTATAATCACTACAATTTTATTCATCCCTTCCACATTTACCTGTTTTTCATTGTTTTGTACTTGCTTCGTGTGTGCATTTGTGTGTATCCCTTAATTTGTGGTTGCAATTACACATGATCTTCCTACTTCTGCTTTTTAACCTTTGTGCTAGTATTACAGTTGGTCGATCCACTGTTTCTACTAAGGGTTTACCTTTGTCAGTGAGAATTTTTTCTTTTCTCTATTTTCTTATTCATATTTTTATCTTTTTTACTTAAAAAGGACACGTTTAACATTTGTTGTAATAATGGTTTAGTGGTGATAAACTTTTAGCTTTTTCTTTTCTGGGAACTCTTTATCTCGTCTTCCATTCTAAATGATAGCCTTGCTGGGTAGATCAATTTTGGTTGTAGGTCTTTGCTTTTCATCACCTTGAATATTTCTTGCCAATCCCTTCTGGCCTGCAGAGTTTCTGTTGAGAAACCAACTGACAATCTTATGGTAGCTCCTTTGCAGGTGATTAACTGCTTTTCTCTTTCTGCTTCTAAGATTCTCTATTTTTAATCTTTGGCATTTTAATTATGATGTGTCTTAGTGTGGGCTTCTTTGGGTTCATCTTGATTCGGTTTCTTTGTGCCTCCTTTGTGGGTTTATTTCCTTTACCAGGATAGAGAAGTTTTCAGTCATTACTTCTTCAAATAGGTTTTAAATCCCTTGTTCAATCTCTTCACCTTCTGATAGACCTATGACACAAATGTTGACATGCTTAATGTTGTACCAGAGGTCCTTTAAACTCTCCTCATTTCTTGAAAAGCTTTCTCTCCTTACTGCTACAATTGGGTGTTTTCTGCTACCTTGTCTTTCAAATCACTGATTAAATCCTGTGCTTCATCTAATCTGCTGTTGATGGCTTCTAATGTATGCTTTATTTTGGTTTTTGTACTTTTCATTTCTGACTACTTCTTTTTTAGGATTTTATCTCATTTTTGTGTTTTTTACCTCTTTGTTGAAGTCCTCACTGAGTCCACGTATTCCTTATAACCAGTGTTCTGAACTCTGTATCTGGCAAACTGCTTGTCTCATTTCATTTAGTTCTTTTTCTGAAGTTCTGTCCTGTTCTTTTATTTGAGGCATTTTTTTTCTGGTCTCATTTTGGCTGACTCCCTCTGTTTGTTTTTAAGTATTAGGGAGATCCACTGTGTCTCACAGTCTCAACAGTGGTTTTATAAAGAAGGCTCCCTGTGGTTTCCAGGGATGCAGCCTCCTTAGTCACATGAGCCGAGTGCTCTATGAACGTCCCATGTGGTTTGTGTGTGCCCTCCTGTAGTATTTAAGTTTCGACTGCTCTTTGTAAGCCAGTGGGTGCGGCTGACCCTCAGGATCACTGCCATAGAGGGCGGACTGTGAATACAGTGCATGAGCTGTAGTACAGGAGCCGACCCCATAGCAAGGGAGCAACTTCTGCAGGGCTTGGGTAGGTGCTGAGTCCATCCCGCATGTATGTCATCTGGGGAGACGGGCAGCGCTGCTCTAGTGTGGTCTGAAGCTGGCGGCCAGGTGTGTTGTTTCTGGGCCTCTTAGCAGGAACGCTGGTATAGATCAAGGTCAGCCGTCATTTGCACAGGGCCTGGAGTCTCTTGGTAGAAGATTCAAAGTGATCTGTGGTAGGTTGCCACTTGTGTTGGGCTTGGAGGTACTTGGGAAAAGCTCCACTGTGTACTGACGTTGGCGGGCACTTGTGCCGAGCTTATGATCCTTTGGTGGGCTTCACAGTGTGAGCTGAGACCAACCACCTCTTGTACTGGGCTTGTGGGCGGCTTAATTGAAGCTGGCTTCCAGTGTAAAACTTGCCGCCACTTATGCTAAGCATGGAGGCACTGGATGTGAGTTAAAATGCACACTGGGACCTGTCATTGCTTGTGCTGGCCTTGGGGCCGCTCAGCAATAACTACCAAGCATGCTGAGGCCAGCAGCTGCTTGCTTAGGGTTTGTAGAAGTTTGAGTTATTTTGGAAAAGTCCACAGCATGAGCTGAGGCAGACCACTTGTGTAAAGGAGCCACCTGAGGTGGGCAGGCAAGTTGGGTTGGTGGAGTCTCAGGGACTCGCTAAGGCACAGTGAACAGTGTTAGCCAGATGAATGGACTCAGACTTGGCACTCTCCTGCACTGGGCTGGCTGGAAGGAAGGGGAGTTCCACAATGTTACAATATTGCCCACTAGCACTTTTGCCCCTGGAGAGAGGTCCCAACCTCTGCCACGACAGCCCTTACCCTGAAGTTAATAAATTTATTTCCTTCCTGTATGTCCCTGGCACTTTCTGAGCTGTTGCCTCTGTGCTGAAGCTTAGTGCCAGGGAGTCTATGAGTGAATGAGTCTAGGCATGGGCCCTTTAAGAGATGCACTTTGGTCTCTATTTTTTCTTTCATGGATAGAATCCCCGCTGGTTTTCACAGGAAAATGTTGTGGGGACTTTTCTTCCCAGCACTGAAATTCTGGGCTAGGGAGCCTGGTGTGAGCTGGGACCACGTGCTCCTAAGAGGAGACCTGCAGAGCTGAGATAGCCCTCCCAATTCTTAATCTCCACACCCTGGATTGGGACCTGCCTGTTCCACATCTCCACCCTTCCTACCAATCTCAACACGGATTCTTTTTTATGTCCTTGGTTATAGGAATTCTTTTCAGCTAATATTCAAATGGTTCTCAATAACAGTTGTTCTATAATTCAGCTGTAGTTCTGATATGGTCATGGGAAGAGGTGAGCACAGAGTTTACCTACTCTGTCATCCTGACCAAACATCCCTCAAGACTTAAATCTGGTCCTTTAAAAGGTTAACTGTCTCTTGTTCATAAATAACTAAAAGATATTTTCAATTACTAAGTCAACTGAAAATATATACATACCTTTCTAAATGTATACATTTACATATTAAACACCAAAATAACAACATTAAAATTACTTTCCTGGATCATCAAAGAAAGATTTGAGATGACAAATATTTAATGTGTCATTTATCTTTCCAAAATACAGAAGTCCTTTTTTTTTGTTGTTCCTAAAATTCAACTGCTGTCAAAATTAAACTAATATTAAATTTCTTAAGCAGACAATTTAAAAATAAACTTTAATAAGAATGAATTAGATAATACCTCCATCCAAGTAAGGGCAGGCCCACAATTGATCTTGTTGCCAGCAATAGCAGAAAGGCGGGACAGGTAAGCGATAAGCATCTGAGTGACTGACTAAAAAGAAAGAGAAGATTCAGTGGTAACTCATAAAGATACTATACTGTGTCAGAGGAACTACTGTAAGTCAGTTGCTTCGAGAGAAAAAGCAAATCAACAGACTTTTTGGCACTTTAATCATTACAGAGAGTTCTTCACAGAGGCTAGACAGTTCCTTGAACTGAAACTACAGGCACTTACCTAGTAAGTCCTTGTCTTGTATGGAACTATAATATTTAACCCATCATCATCACGGGACAGGCTATTTTATAGCTTCTAATTTTACTGCTTTTTCTTTCTATTTTTGTATGGAAACCTTACAGATCACAATAGCAACGACACACCTAGTTTTTCTGCCTGGCTTCTCCCAGCTACCCTGAAACTCTTTCCCTGCAACCTGCTGTGATTCTCCAGCCACAGCAGGATGGCCATGTTCACCCATGATCCTACCTCCCAGACCAGCTGAGTGGTCCAGGAATGTGATGCAACGTGACCTGGCCCAACACAGGTTACTGCAGGAATCAGGAATTTTGATATAAAATTTCAGCTCAGTCTGGCTGCTGTCTTAAAATAGACAAAAACCCAGGACCTGTTGGTAGTGACCATGTTTGGAGACAGTATGATAGAGAAAATTATGCAACAGAGAGAAAGAGATGGGAAATGGAGATAGATTTCTTAGTTCTCTATAATACAAAAAAAAATCTGTGGTTTTAAGATGTTCCCAAGACTCTGCTGTAGTGTCAGTTCTTGTATGATCGATGGTATTGCTACTTTGCCCTACATACTTAATTGCCCTGGAATTAATTATAGAACTGAAAGGGCCTCCCATCAGGACTTGGAAGATATTTTGCACTGTTTTTGAGCATCCACTGTAGCTGCCAAGGAGCCTAATGCTAATACAATTCTTGTTCTATTGAGAAATCTGTTGTTTGCTCTCCAGAAGCCTTTCTGGTTTGCTGTTTTGGCATTTTGAAATTTCACTACATGTTTCTAGATGTGTGTCTTTTCACTCATTATATGAGCACTTAATGGGACCATTTAATTTGAAAACATGACTTTTGTAAACTTTAGAGAATTTTCTTTGATCAATTTTTAGTTAATTCCAATAAGACGAAAGTAGGGACTTCTCGATCTATTCTTCATGTGTCCCAACTACTCTCTCACAACTTCTTATATCTTCGGAGGCTGTATTTTTATAAAGTCTGATCTTTCAGCTCACTAATTCTCTATTTATCTGTGTCCATTTTTTATGTAGTCCAGCTATTCAGGTTTGCTATTATTAAAGTCCGTTTAAATGACCATATGTTCAATTCTAAGATCTCCTGATTATTTTATTTTTGTAAAGTTCGGCTCTCATTCTATGAATGTGATTGCTTCACTCTCTGAGCACAGGAATCATGTTCCTCAAGGCCCTCTGTTTGCTCTTCTGTTGTTTTGTTTACAGTCATGCACCACTTAACTGAGGGGGATGTGTCCTGAGAGATGCATCCTTAGGAGATTTCATCATGTGTGAACATCACAGAGTGCACACCCATACACAAACCCAGGTGGTATAGCCTACTGTACACCTGGGCTATATGGTATAGCCTACTGCTCTTACAAACCTGTACAGCATGTTAACAGTACAAACCAACATGGGATTAAATCATGCACAAGAGAAACTGATGTAATCAAGAGGCATAATAAATGGGAGATGAATGAGGCGGCTGCCAGCAGAACACGGCACATTGTTTTAAGGCAAACATTTTTTTAAGTAAAAAGAATACTTTCAAAAACAACGCTATCAGAGTATATTATAGTAAACACATAAACCGGTAACATAGTCATTTATTATAAAGTGTTATGTATTGTATATAATTATATGTGCTATACTTTTCTGTGACTGGCAGCACAGTAGGTTTGTGTTTGTTGACACTCATATCACCATAAACACTTGAGTAATTAATGCATTGCACTATGGCATTGTGACAGCTACAATGTCATTAGGACGTGGAAAATTTTCAGCTCTGTAATAATCATCTGGGGACCCTGCCATAAATGCAGTCCACTGTTGACCAAAACACTGTCACACAGCACATAACTGCATGCTATTTTTTCCTGTAACGTTTCTAGTTTATCTGTCTTCTGCACTCTTCTTGCACGTGTATTTCAGGCTATATTCTCTTGTCCTCATAAGCCTGATCCCATCTACTTTCAAATATTCCTCACAATTTTTATTCCCTGATGGTGCTTTTCATTTTTTGATGTTATAAAAACAAAAAATCTTGTCCTTTTTAAAACATTTTAAATCATTTATATCTTTACGAGAAATATTTGGCAGGATGGAGGTGGATTCATAGGTATAGCCTGTCATCATAAACTAAGCAAACAGCATCATTTTAATATGCATTTATTTGAGTATTACTGAAGTCAATGTCTTTCATATTTTTGCTTCCATATTTTATATTCTCTTTGGAGAATATCTGCTCATATACATTACTCATTTATATATTATTACAATATGAGGTTTTTTCATTATAAAATTATATATTAAGCCTACTTTACTAACCATCCTATATAACATTACTAATTTTTCAGTCATGAAATAATTAAATAATCCCAGGAATCATCCTGAGTGTCAGTATAGGCTTTTATTTAGTATACAAGCAAAAACTTTTGCTAATTTATATATACTTAATTACCTCTGGACTGTCCTTCAGGGCATCTGAACGGGGAAGTTCTGAGAGCTGGGAGAATCGTCGGTCATAAATACATAGATGAAGATGTTTGTCAAGTACTCGAAAATCTTCATAGCTTCTTTTAACAATCCAACTTTTGCCCTGCAGGTAAGAAAAAAAGGCTCCTGTAATTTTTGTCTATTAGGAAATGCTTATGAACTGGGTCTTACTATAAAGTGGTATTTCATTCAGGGCATTTTATATTTTCTAATGGAAAGCTTCTATTAACTCAATAATAGAGAGTTAAACTCCAAAGCAGTCTCTGGGTTATATTACATTAAAGGGTCCGTAACAGACGGTAAGACCGGACTCCCCACCAACCCTCTTCCCACCACTCCTCAGAGTCCACTGGCCTCTGGGAGCAACAACTGTTAGACGGTTAAGACAGCATGTGACCTTCACCCTGCAAAAAGAACCATAACATACTCTTGAGTGAGAGGAAATTAAACTGCTACTAAGAATTAAAGAAAAATAAAACCAGGTTATTGATTAGTTATCACCAACATTTCCTGTGACTGAGACTAGAAATATACTAAAATTAAAATTAAATCTTCATCTATAATGACTCCATATGCATGTATTACCTGGAACCCATCATCCTTCCCCACTTCTCAGGCTTCCTTCCTTTCCTTGCCCAATCTCACAAACTCATTAAAAATAAATATCTACTCACACAGCATTTTTATTACCTACTGTCCTCTAATTTTATCTTGAATCTATCACTTCCTACAGCCGTAGCTTTAATAAGGACTGACATCATTTCTTACCTGGAATGCTGCTAAAGCTCCTTGCCTATGATCTCCTCCCTCACTCTACTCCCCCTAATACAAAACACAAAGCTTATCAGGCCTTAAGAAATCCTTAAAAAGCAGTGTGGTCAGCCATGATGAACAGGTCCTGACTGCACACTATCTGGTTTTTCAACTTAATCTAATTTTATATGGAGACTTTCATCTCATAAAAATCTGGAGGAACGAGGAGAATAAGCCTCCAGAGTAACCAGTCATCTCAGAATGAAAGACAACATTTTTCATGTAGCCCTTCTCCATTGTCCTCAGCCAAATGGGGCAGAAATAGAATGTATCACTTCACAGGGGAGGTGCTGAATTTTAAAAGAGTTATGTCAAAAACTAACATCACAAACTTGTCTACTCCTACTTCGGACTATAATTCTCCATGACATAGATCTCCTCTTTCAGACAGTAGTTTGAATAAGATAAGAGAAGAGGTGTGGCAAACATGTTTAAAGAACAGTATCCTGTATTTAAAGAATAGTATTCTAGTCCCTATTCTAAGAAATGCTAGCACAATCACTCTGGAATAAGATTCAGTTAATTCTGACGATCAGTCTGAATTGACAACCACTGACCCACAGGATTACGTCCAAATGTATGTATGTGTATATATCAGAGTTTTCATTACCTGGGTCCCATCTAAATTGATAGTCTCATCTCACTCACTACTCATCCATGCCCTTTCTTTGCTTCCAGCTATGCTCAATTACTTCCATTTCTTCATTTTATGAGATGTATGCCCTTTCTTGCCTCCAAGATTTTTAAATGCTATTTCATCTGCCATGGAAAGTCATTTTTTTATTCCTTGCTCAATCAAGTAAGCTCCTTTGTTTGCTTAGTTCAACAGATGCCTTCTACCCAACTCTTTCCTAAAAGACCACAGGGGGGTAAAATGCTTCTCTTTGGGATGGCAAAAAGAAAAAATAAAAATGCACAACAAAGGCAGAAAAAGTAGAGACTAACTTCTTATCAGAGAGTTGCAATAGTTTTTCTTTCACACTTACATATATAGTACAAATTATGCAGCAGTTCAAATATCAGCAAAGTACAAAAAAATAACACATACCTGTCTCTTATCACAGAGATTAACTACATTGTTGACTCTTGTTTCAAAGCTCTTTATATTTTTTAAGAACCAATTATTATAGATGTAAAGCCCCAACCTCTCGTGTTCTCTTTCTAAGGATAAGGATTGGAGTTAATGTGCATAGTTATCATGCACAAATACATGTTTTACATCTTTACTATATATTAATATATCCATAAATAAGGTACCTTATTACTTTGAATTTTATATAATTCATATATTTTTGGAACATGGAGTTTTCACACCACAGTATGTTGAGATTTTTCCATGTTGATATAGATAGCTCTATTATTAGACAAATGCTAAAGTGCAATTTACTGGAGGAATAAAACCCCAGTTTATATTTCCATTCCCCTATGGAAGGCAGGTATTTTCACGCTCGGCCTTTTGGCATGTAGTACTGCAAAGAATATGTTCATGTCTTATGCCTCACATTTGGGAGAGATTCTCCACAGGAACTATCTGCAAGTGGAACTGCTGGATTATAATGTATGACCATCATCAACTTTCTTTTAAATTTGCCAATCTGGCCTCCAAAGTAATAATACCAATTTGGTGTGAATTGCATGTTCCTAACTAGAAACCTGTTCATGTTCTCCATTAAAATGATGGCTTTTACTTACTGATATGTGTGAAAGAATAGGGATTAAAATAAGTATCAAATAAAATAACTTAAACTTGTATTTGGACAAGAAGGTCTAGCTGCCCTCATCCAAGTATCTTAAACTTATCCACTCTATCCTCTGATTTGGGTTAGGCCTGAAAAATTTTAAAAATTGTATATGAATACGTTTAAGAACAGGACAGCACAGTTTAATGTGTCAAAGTGATTACCACACCAAGCCATTTTTCTTATTTATATTACCTGCATAGATTCTGAAGCTACGTAGATTTATCTACTACTGAAATAAATAGCTGAGAACTTGGTTCTAGGATGTCCCAGTAACTCGTGGCTATTAAGAACTACATGCAGTACATTAATATAAAGTGCTTAATAGAGTACCAGAAATAGTTCACTTTAATTCAAGAAACTTTCTAAGCTGAACATATCAGAATTAGGGAATAAGGTTTCCAAACAAAACCCCATGGTATTTAGCAGAACAAATGACTGGTCTCAAAAAGCTCAGCAACTAAAAAGACAAGGATATTCTTATTGTTTACTTTTATGCATATTAGGGTTTAGCCAGGAAAGAGTTAATGTATCTTCAGATGTTGAAAGTGGCTTTCCATATTGGGTGAATTATTTGCTTCAACTCTGGGGAGTGAAATCTTAAATTTAATATAAAGAATTTTATGAATGTTATAAATTATGAACTTTATAAATTTAATGGCAAAAGATGTATAATGCTGACACTATCAAAAGAAAGCAGGAATAGCTACATTAATTTCACAGAGAGCTGAACTCAGATCAACGACAGTTATCAGGGAAGAAGAGTATTACATAGTAATATAGAGGATAATTCTCCAAAGAGATATAACAATCAATCCTTAACGCCTACAACGGAGCATCAAAATATGTGAAGCAAAAACTGATAGAACCGTGAAAGGAAATAGGTGAAGTCTCCACTATTACAGTTGGAGACTTCAACATCCCTCTAACAAAAATGGACTGATCCAGCAGGCAGAAAATCAGTAAGGATATATTTGAACTCAACATCACCACCAATTAACTGCATATAGTGGACATCTATAGATTACTTCATCCAAAAAAACATTCCTCTCAAGCTCACATGGATCATTGCCAAGAGAGACCACATTCTGGGCCATAAAACAAATGTTAATGAATTTAAATTTTTAAATACAATGTCTGCTCTCAAACAATGATGCAATGCTCTCAAATAATGATGCAATTAAAATAGAAATCAGTAACAAGAAGATAGCATGAAAGTCCCAAAATACTGGCAAGATTAAGCAAAACATTTCTAAATTAACACATGGGCTAAAGAAAAAACTCCCAGGAAAAAATTTAAAAAATTGAAATACGGCATATCAAAAAGTGTCAGATGCAGCAAAAGCAGTGCTTAGTAGAATTATTGAGAGCACTGAATACATGTATTAGAAAAAAAGGATCCAAATCAATTATCTAAAATTCCATCTTAGGAAAATAAAGAAAAACAAACTAAAACCAAAATAAACAGAATAAAAGAAATAAAAATTAAAGCAGAAATCAATGACCTTGATAACAGAAAATCAAGTGAGATAATCAACAAAACCAAAGGTGGTTCTTTGAAAAGATCAGTGAAATCATAAAAATCAAGCCAAGATAAGTATGGAAAAAAAAAAAAGGACATAAATTACTAATATCAGAAATGAGAGGGAGCATCATGACCAATCCTATAAACATACAAAGGAATACTATACTATAAACAATTTGGATGCCCACCAATTTCATATCCAAGATAAAATGGACCAATTCCATGAAAGACACAATCTGCCAAAACTCACACAAGAAATGTGCAATCTGAGTAGGTCTATATCTGTTAAATAAATTTAATAAATAATTAATAAACTTCCAAAAGAGAAAGCACCAGGCCAAAATGGGTTCACTGGTGAATTATACCAAACATTTAGAGAGGAAATTATATCAACTCCCTACAATCTCTTTCAAAAGATTTAAAGCAGAAAGAATACTTCTAATTCATTCTATGAGGCTAGAACAAGAAAGAAAAATTACAGACTGATATCTCTTGCAAATATCTATGTAAAAATCCTCAATAAAATTTAATCTACTAGAATCCAACAACATATAAAAATAATTATTCACCACAATCAAGTGGAATCTATCCCAGATATTGAAGGCTGGTTCAACATTCGAAAGTCAATTAATGTAACCCATGACATCATCAGAAGAAAAAAATCACAGGATCCCATCAACAGACAGAGAAAAGTATCTGACAAAATTTTACACTCATTCATGATAAAAACCTCTCAGTAAACTAGGAATACAGGAAAACTTCCTCAAGCTGATGAAGAATACCTATTAAAATTTAGTTAATATCATAGTTAATGTTGAGAAACTTGAAGCTTTCTTATTAAGATTAGGAAAGAGGCCAACATATCCCCTTCTCATCAATGCTTTTCAACACTCTACTGGAATTACTAGCTAATGTAATAAGACAAGAAAAACAAATAAAAGATACAGACTGGGAAGGAAAAAGTAAAACTGCTTTTGTACACAGATGGCATGATCATCTAGGTGAAATACGCAAAAAAATTGACAA